GGCGGGACTAAGGGAGGAGAGGAGAGAGGACAAGAAGCTGGGTGAGAGAGACACTGCCAGCCGCCATCAGGACAAGAAAGATGTAAAGTACCGGTAAGCCACAAGCCACGTGGCAAGGTATAGATTAATAGAAATGGATTAATTTAAGCTGTAAGAACAGTTAGCAAGAAGCCTGCCACGGCCATACAGTTTGAAACCAATATAAGTGTCTGTGTTTACTTGATCGGGTTTGAGCGGCTTGGGACTGGCGGGTGAGAGAGATTTGTCCTGACTGTGGGCCAGGCAGGAAAACTCCAGCTACAAATGGCGCCCAACGTGGGGCAAGAGTTTCCACCTAAAAACTGAGAAAAAAGATTCTAAAACGGAGCTAAAAACAGCTTCCTAATTGTCTCTCTCAAATGAGCGGCAGCTGCCGGTTTGAGCTACTGGTGGGTTCCTAGTGTGCGCGCTCGACCTGCCGCCATATGGCGGGAATGAGGCCTCTGCAAGTGGCACATTAAGCTACATTGTGGATTTAGCCTTTGCTAGTACAAAAAAAAAAAAGAGGTTTCTGGGCTACACGCTGCTTGGATAAAAGCATAGACCCACGATGGCTCCCAGAGCTGGCGGTAAGCATACCGCCGCCATGTTGGGAAGCTGAGGTGGGCGGAGCCAGTAGCCACAGCACCAGCACCGTTTCAGGCTTAGAAGGCTGCAGCTTAAAACAATAGATTCACAATAAGACAGATTCAGATGTAATAGTTTAAAATGTATGTAAAATATACGTAGGCTTGAAAAAAAAAAAGGTGATATATACAGTATAGAAACAAATACATGGTTTTAAAAAATAAAGTCTTTAAAGAGACAGTAAAAGTAATATAAAAAATAAGCCACGTAGAGATGACTATTACACAGAGAGTCTGGATTGTGTTGTCTTTGGGATTCTTAACTACAGAGAGATATTTGATTGTAAAGGAAGCTGAGTTAAACCAGTATGTATATTTTAAAGATACTTTGACTTCAAAATTTGGATGTAAAGATATGTTGCTTTGGAAAAGAGTCTCTTTTGTTTCCACAAAAAGCAAGAGGCTATGGATTTGTTCCAGATTAAGACACATCAGGTTTGACCAGCCAAGACCACCTGAAAGGTCTCCGATGACACCATGGCCCAGATGATCCAACATCCAGAACCGTTTCAAGGCAACTGGCTCAGATGATACAGCCTCACGGACTACTCCATGATCCTAAAATTTTCTTTGTTTCCCCAGAAGATACAGCGCCCCCCTCCAGCAGGAAGTAGTAAGAAAAGCTACGCCCAAATTCCCAAATATACCAAGCTGACTTTGGAGATGTGTAAAGGTTAAAACCTTCCTTTTTAAGAAAAGAAAAGGGGAAGTGATGTGGGATGGTCTATATGTCAAATGTGTTGCTGATTGGTCAATGAATAAATCACTGATTGGCAATGGCTAGGCAGGAAGTATAGGCGGGACTAAGGGAGGAGAGGAGAGAGGACAAGAAGCTGGGTGAGAGAGACACTGCCAGCCGCCATCAGGACAAGAAAGATGTAAAGTACCGGTAAGCCACAAGCCACGTGGCAAGGTATAGATTAATAGAAATGGATTAATTTAAGCTGTAAGAACAGTTAGCAAGAAGCCTGCCACGGCCATACAGTTTGAAACCAATATAAGTGTCTGTGTTTACTTGATCGGGTTTGAGCGGCTTGGGACTGGCGGGTGAGAGAGATTTGTCCTGACTGTGGGCCAGGCAGGAAAACTCCAGCTACAACTGACGGCCCCCTTGTCCTTCACAGTGCCCTGCCGCTGGAGGTGCTGGGATTCAGAAGGCAGGGGTGAAGGGAGGGTTGATGGAGGATAAGTTCTAACTGTAGATGATGTCAGCCAGTGGCAAACTGGGTGTTTCTGTGCTTGTGAGTTTCCTTTTTCAGCTCCCTCCATTCTAAATAGAACCTTTGTTCACTGTGGAGTGCGGAGTACTAAATAGTAATGACACTTTCATTTCCTCTCAACAAAGCTTTCAAAATATCTTCCCCTGATGTCATTGGGAGGATGTTTAAAATCTGTTTAAAAGATAGAAGCTTTGTACATATTATGCCCATGACAACGCTGCAAAAGCAAAATCCTTGGTATCACGCGAATGAATATCTCCAAGTGCTAAACACACACACACACACACACACACACACACACACACACACACACACACACACAGTGCAGCCAGTGATGACACTGAACTTCTGATCCTCCTGGATCTCCTGGATCTAGGAGAGCTAGGAATACAGTGTCTGTTCTGCTGTCTGTTGTACATGGTGTTTATGATCGAATCCACAGCTTCATTCAATACAGGTGTACTGAAATCATACAAAACACAAATCCAGCCATGTCAGTTGCTTTTCTCAAAAACCTGACAGGAAGCTGCCTAAGAGAGGAGAGCTTCATTTTGTTTCACAGTCTGAGGGAATGCAGTTCATCATGGTGCAGAAGGTGTGGCAGCCAGTCACGTGGCAGCTGGTGCGCTGAAGTCAGGGAGCCCATAGAAGATGCATGTCCCACCCACTTTCTCTTTTTCGTTCAGTTCAGGACTTGAGCCCATGGGGTGGTACTACTCACATTCAGGGTGGACCTCAGTCTTCAGTTAAACCTCCCTGAAAATGCCCTAAGGCACACCCAGAGGTTTCTCTCCTAGAGATCCCAGATCCCATTCGGTTCACAACAGAGATTAACCCACACCAACCAAAGATAAATTTAAGATGGTAGCATACAAGGGACCACAGCTGAGTAAGAGGGTTCATGCCAAGTCTCCCCTGGCAGTTTTGTTGAGGTGCAGACCAAGACCAAGCTCCTTAGCACTGTCTCTAAGGTTGTGGTTTAGTTCCCACCCACTTTTACTACTCACCTATGTCCATTAGCCATTCACCTTGATTTCACGTCTCCGGTCACCTGGGCTGCCTCAGCTCTTCCATTAGCACTTCAGTTTTCAGATGAGCCTTGCTGGCCCCATGTCTAAAACATTCTCTACACTCTCATTTTATCCTGTGGTGATGGATTGTGTACTCCAATAAAGCTTGCTTAGGACAAAGAGGACAAAGCCAGCCACTAAATTAGACATAGAGCTCAGGCAGTGGAGGCACACACCTTTAATCCGAGCATTCAGGAGGCAGAGATCCATCTGGATCTTTGTGAATTCTAGGCCACGCTAGGAACAGAGCTGGGTGGTGGTGGCACATGCCTTTAATCCCAGCACTAGGAAGTAAGATGGCAGGGCACAGAAAGGTATATAGGGAGTGGGTAAACAGGAAATCTAACTCTGGAGGCTGAGGATTTCAGAGAGGTAAGAACATGACTAGCTTGTTCTGTCTCTCTGATCTTTCAGCTTTCACCCCAATATCTGGCTCCAGGATTTTTTTTTTTATTAATAAGACCTTTTAAGATTCATGTTACATTATTCCTCAAACTCCGACTCGTGGTTTGTATTTTAGCTCAACCCCCACTTCTTCCCATAAATACTCCAGGCTGGGTCCATCTTTTTGTCATATGCTGTATGACTGTATGTCACTGTATCTTTTTCCTTTTCTCGAGGATTTGTCTCAGCTAGTAAATACACACTTGTTGGCATGGAGTTTAAGGTTCTTCTCTGACCCTGGAGTGTAAACGCTATGACTTTGTTCACTGTTTTGTTCATTTGTATCTGGAATACAGTTCGAACTTGACATAAATGGAAACAAATATGTTCAGGATCTTGTTTTAGTATCTTTGGAGATTTTACTTGCTGTCCAAGTTTGATCTAGTTTAAAAAAATGAAAGAAGAAAAAAATCTGCCAGCTTTCAGTACACAAATATTTTATTTATGGAGAAAAAGGTTGTTTATGGAAAAGTTAGTATTATATTTACACTAAAGACAATTGAAGGGGAGATGGAATGGCATTTTGTTGGAATAATTTTTACCAATAATTTTTACATGGATATTTGCTCTAAAATGGTTTGTATTCAGTAAAGAGTAGCTGACCATTTGGTTTAATTTTTAGGAATATTTTTTGGTTATTATCAATTAGAATTTCTCTAATTCTTATACTTACAGGTACTGTGCTCATTAAAAAATGTCTGCATTCATCCTGGACTTTATGGAGAATGTGAGAGGGATTGTGAGAGAAGACTGAGCACACACCAAGATTAAAAAGCAGTTGCCATTTACTACGCCATCATGTAAGCACAGTTTTCCTTACAGCACGTTGGGCAGGATAGGACAGTTTCCTTCTCCTGGTAATGTCCATGTCTCACACTACGGAGGCTGTTGCTGTGTCTCTGCTGCTGCTCTCTAGATTATGTTTCTTTATTCTTAACCCAATGTGTGCAATCCTTTCCCACGGATTCAAGCCTTACCAGGTTCACTTAGATTAAAAAAAAAAAAAAAAAAAAAAAAAAAGAAGCCCAGAAAGCCTTTTATAAGAAGTACTAAGCTCTTAGCTTTAAAACATATAGAATTCAGACATGAGTTGCAGAAACTGCTCCATTCTTCTCACCATTGTGGTTCCTGGCTGAGTTCCATCTACTGCTAGAACCTCTCACACGAATTCCCTGAAAAGTGTGGCACTCTTGCCAGCTATGGACTCTGCTTAGTGACTCCTTCCTGCAAAATGCTGCCTTCATTATTTTTTTTTTTTCTATCCCATATGTCTGTCTCTCAGCAGGCGATTTCTGCATCCTGTTGAGGCAGGGGGAGAGTTGATCGCCTCTGACTTTTGGAAGCCAGGGAGGTACAATTTGCAGATTGACGTTCATCCGGAAGGCTTGCTGTGAGTCACCTGGGAAGTTGCCTGTGCTAACCTTTTCCTGGTGTTTCTCTGTAACTTTTCCACCTCCCTTGCGGGTCAGCTGTGGCAGAACACCTTCTCCCTCCCATAGCCTGGAGAAGGCAAGTGCAGGCAGATGATAGATCAACATGGCTGGTTTTTTGTTACTGAGTTTTAACAATTTAATAAAGGAATTGGAGTTCAACCAGGAGAGTATTTATTGACAAAATTTTATTGATAAAATAACATTAAAGATTTATGAACAAATTAAAAATCTCTGTAAAAGAAAATTACATCAACCAGGATGTAACAAAAGTGTGTCTAGGCCTGGGATGAGGACGCGTTCTCTGTTCTGGATTGGCTAGGTTAAGCAACGTCAGTAACAGTGAGAATTTTAATTCACAGAGAGCAACTATGACACAATCCTGGAAGTCACAAGAAAGGCTACTATGAGACAAATGCTATGTGGAGTGCATGACGCAGCTTCTGCCTAGTTTTCATCACCCTGATACCTGTTCCAACATCTTCATTTGCCTCCCTGCTCTGATCTGTCTGCTCTTCCTCAGCCCCCACTGACCTGTAGAACATCTTGTTCCATCAGCATGGGCTGCCACTGCAGTGACAGCTTTCCCTCCTGGCTCAGGTCTGCTCTTTGCTGGGTCCTTTGGCCCAGTGCCTCTGACCTTGGGTGGCTGCTGCTTTGAGTCTGCCTGGCTTTCTTCCCGAAGCAAGTGGTGATTATGAACTATAATAGAAGACATTGTTTGAAATTTTCAACTTGTTTTAGGTACTGAAACTGCAGTGTCAATGTCTTAAGGACTCTTCAGCCCTCTGGATGTTGTATTTGGTTAGCTAATCTCACACACAACAAGGAGGAGACTGTAGATTATTTCCTACCCTACATTAAAAAACGATTGAAAGCTGAGATCGTTGCTGAATGGATTTTTTTTTAACCTTCCTTCCTTGCTCTAGGATCTTGCAGAAGTAGGACAATAGAAAGTTATCTGTTTGGGGTCTGTGAGTATTCTGGGTCACAATTCTGTCAGACCTTCTGTACATAACCATCACTGTATTGATCCAAGATGACACTGAGAGAAAATTGAAGCTATTCTTGGGGAACATGGAACTGTGTTCTGAGCTTTGGAGAAGCTCATGGATTTTTAGGGGAAAGCTCTCCCTTTGATAAAGGATTGTTGGTATCAGTGCTCCATCAGATTGTGACTTCCACTTAAACTTCTACATAAGGCTAAAATGGAGTCAGGGTTTTTGTTTGTTTGTTTGTTTGTTTTTTGAGACAGGGTTTTTCTGTATAGCTTTGGCACCTTTCCTGGAACTCACTCTGTAGTTCAGGCTGGCCTCGAACTCACAGAGATCTGCCTGCCTGTGCTTCACAAGTGTTGGGATCAAAGGCGTGCGCCACCACTGCCTGGCTGGGGTACATTAGGACATCTTTGGTAATACTGAACTTAAATCAGATCAGCTAATCCAGAGTCCATGTTAAATCACCAGCAGGAAAGTCCAATCAGGCTTGGCCACGCATAGAGACAAGAAAATGGTGGCATTCTTCCCTGCTCCTCGGCTTAATGATGTGATGTGATGTGTGTGTATGTGCCTGGGTGGACAGACATATGTACATACATGTGCCTTTGCCCTTTGTGCATATATATGTCTGTGCCTATGCGTTTATATATGTGCACTTGTGTATGTATGCATGCACAGGTGCTTGTGCCTGTTTGTGTGTATGTTCGTGTGCCTGTGTTTGGGAATGTACATGTGCCTGTGCCTCTGTGTGCGTGTGTGCGTGTGTGTGTGTGTGTGTGTGTGTGTGTGTGTGTGTGTGTGTGTGTGTATAAACAGGATATTTAAGAGTTGTTATCAGGAACAAATTTTACCTTTAGTCTGTTGGATAGTTAGAGAACAGACAAGTAAGAATCATAATGCTAAAAGCTAAATTGATGTGAGGGATAAAAATGATATAAGAAGAAACATGTCATCACATTCTTGCTTTAATTCATATCTAGAAATTTCCCCTGCTAGTCCAGTTGTAATAGATCAGGCAGTCGTGAACAGCGTGTACTTTGTTTATCTGGGTTAATGTCCCTTTTGAATAATCCATCACTTTATTTGGGGAGGCCTGTGCTTCATTAGAGAGGTTGGTGATTCCTCAGGCAGTGGTAGCCAAGGTGATACCAAGAACTATCACAGTGTGACTGCTTTCCTGGAACCAAGGATGAATTCTCTGCCATAAGCCTTAGGGATAGCCTTCTGTGAAGGAGGCTGGCAGGCCCATTATAGCCTTGTGTTAATGGTGGGGTGTCTCTGTGGCAGTAGGGTCCTGGCTTTGCTCCTTAAACTTTACCTTTGTCATTCTGGAAAGCATTAGCATTTCCATGTGAAAACCAGATATCCAGGAAGTGATGACCTTGAACCTTGATCTTCTTTGTACCATTCCATGGTGCAGGGTAAAGACTGGGTAAGCGTATGTCCTTGTGACAAATGCTGGTATTGTATTTGGTAGTAAGGATCGGGAACCTATGGTGATTAAGAACTGACAGCTAACAAGCTGCTTTTACAGTCTCACTTCTCACAACAATCTTGTGAGGTAGGAACAGTAGATAAGACTTTTATTTTTACTCTTCAAAGATCGACACCAAAGACCACAGAGTGTAAGTGATTTGCCCTTCGTCATAGTAAATAGAAGGACCCAAACTTGCTACCATGTCTTCTGACCTTTCAGTCTGCTTTTTACCTGTAAGAGTTTCCAGTTTGATTGCAGATTGGAAAAAGTGCTCTGTAAGTAGACATAAAACTTGTTTCCAAGTCAGGTGGCTTAGAACTAATGCTCCGGTGACTAGAGGCTTCTGGATCACTACTTGCAGGGGCTCCAAAGGAACAGGATGCCTGCAAGCTGGCTTTCAACTCTGAATATTAGAAGATCATGGAGGAGTCATCCTGGGCTCCCTGGGGTCAAGGAGCAGAGGTGTAATTCTCATGGCTGTTAGTGCACTGCTACAGCACACAGCAGGTTAACTTCTCTCACCTCCTCATTGGATTGTAAACTTCTCAGGGCAAGAACATGACTTACTCATTTTATTCCCAGAATTCAATGCAGTGCTAGATCCTTTTAAAAGTTAAGCTCTTTGCATGTTTCATAAACTGCTTTCAAATTTTGTTGGGAAGAGGTTGTTTGCATGGAATAGGCCTGGGGGAAACTCAGTTGTCTTGGTGGAAGGGTGAAACATGCCAGCACTACAACCTTAAGGTAGAGAACAGCATCCAAGTGACCCTTGTTTACAATGAAAAAGATCCACTTTTTATGGATTCAAGTCAGAGGTTCTCCATTAGCCAAGAATCCATTGAAAACGTCTACGTTTTGGTCTCTGAGTAAAGGCAATGTCTTTTAGCGTGGAGAAAATTAGACGTGTGGTAAATATGAATATGGTATTATTTTAGTAATATGGAGAGGAATCTCTGACAAAATATGATTAATCATTGTCAAAACTGATTCAGTGAGAGTTGGAAGAGGGCTCTATTTTTCTCTGGTTAAGTTTGCCAAGGCACATTCTCCTTGGTCCTTCACATCTCCCTGTATCCTGGCCGTCACAAGCCTGAGGACCCAGGTGAATCTTGACCAGGTGGAAACTGGGGACAAGAGGACAACACTGTTGTGATTCAGACTTGGACCTCAGTGTGAATGCTTTTGACCAGGACACATAGGCAAGCAGTCCACAGACAGTCCACGATGAACAAGGATCATCGTTGCCAGCCTAATGGGCTGGCCCAGGCTAGACTCGGGACCTGTGGCCGAAAGCAGCAGTCATTTGCTACTCTTCAACAGGGGAAGTGTAGCAGGTGTTACAGCCTGGTGAAGACAACTTCTTGAATGGAAGAAGAATTTTAAATTTAGGAGACAGTATATCAGCTCACCAGTTTGTGGTACTCAGGACCCAATGAGTCCTGAAATCAAGAGGTGGGTAAGGGCTCAGTAGCTCCGGGGCTGGTAGAGGTTATGGGTCATCAAGAGGCCTTCCTAGTTGTGAAGACTGGTGCAGGTCATGGCTGGATGCCTGGTTTTTCCAGGTATTACTGCCAAGTTTCAAACATGGCCTTAATGGCCAAGCATGGCTTCTTTCAGACATTTCGGTTTCATTTGGCAGGGCTGGAGCCTGTGAGGAAACAAAGCAGAGGGTCATATCAAGGTTGAGGTTGGACAAGGAATAGCTTTGAATGTCTTGCCACACTTTATAAGGCTCCGCTTTGAATGTCCACTGAGAAGAAGGAGGCACATGAAGCCAGTCCTACCAAACTTCTCAATTCTGGCTTCATGGGTTTCTTGGACCCCAGGCAGTCACCAGGAAGCGGAGCATATCAGTTGCTCCTGCTATACAACCTGTTTCAGGGAGGACTCTGGAGTTTGGCCAAGTTGAGATTAGCATAGCTTTGGGGTAACAGAAGGTTTGGGGTGCCATCACCAGAAAATAAAAAAATAAAACCAGCACTGTCTTACATGGAGAGTAAATAATATGCTTCACCAGTGCTGGTCCTGAAGCCCAGTCAGACATGAAATCCTAGTGCCTGAATACTCAGATATTGAATTTCATAGATTAACTGTTAGTGATTAGTTTTAGATCTTGCATAAGCTGACTTCTTCATAGCAAATTGTATATTGGTATAATTAAACATTAGTAGTTAGAAACCATATTACACATTTATATCATTAAGCCTAAATGACAGAATTTCTATTTTGCTGTAAATCACAATCTACATGATAATTTGGATGATTAGGAGATATAAAAAATTATAATTAGCACCAAACAAAAAATATTACAAGAAAATAAGTCAAACCATAGGAAATATAAAATATTTCATGTTACAATAACACCTGTAACCCAAGTTTTTTTTTCTTTTTCTTTTTTTTTTTTTAAGATTTTATTTATTGTGTATACAGTGTTCTGTTTGCATGTATCCCTGCAGGCCAGAGGAGGGAGCCAGATCTCATTACTGATGGCTATGAGCCACCATATGGGTGCTGGGAATTGAACTCAGGACCTCTGGAAGAGCAGCCAGTATTCTTAACCTCTGAGCCATCTCTCCAGCCCAAGTTTTATATGTACTGTTTTAAATGCACTACCTGTGAACTATTTCTAAATCTCATTTGGGAGGTACTAGGGTGAAACAGTTGTTTATATAACCAAGCTAATAAGAATTTATTTTTCCTAAAGAGTTTTTATTGCTTACCTTTAATTAAAAAACAATAGGACACAAGGTTGCTTGATACATTTTTCTATTTGTAAAGATTAGAAATAGGCATAACTATAAAGCATGAAGAAAGTTATCTCTATAAATAACTGTAATCCTTTTAAAGATTCCTTTGACTCTTTCTTTCTGATAAAAAGGCATTTGGGAACAAACATGAAATGAATTCCACTTAATTTATGGAATGACGTTTTGAAGGAATTTTAAAAATTCAAAGAGTTATTTTCTGTGGTTCAGCTGATATTTTGGGTATGGTTATTAAGTCTTGGACTTAGTTGTAATTTAATTGCATTTGGTTAAAGGGCTGTATTTATCTTGAAGTGACTAATAGGATCATGAAATACTTCTTAGTGATCCACATTAATTATTCCATTTATATGTCTTGGTAACATATGTCTTAGTGATCTCAGTAATGACTATGGGGAGGTACCCTGTTTCTGAGGATAGATGTAATTTTTACCCAAATGATTCACTAAGTTTCTAGTCAGTATTCATTATTCACTATGTTTCTGCTTATAATTTAGTGACTTCCTTGTTTCTTGAAGCCCAAGACACATGAAGCCAGCCATTAAATATCATAATCATAAAGTTTTAAAGCCACAGCAGGAATCTTGGACATGGGCACAAATCACATATCTTGACTTTAGTCAACCTCAGGAGGCGTCAGTTTCCTCCTGACTTCTGCGTCTTTGTTGGGAGAGCTTGTGTCCAAGTCTTACGGTTAGTAAAACTTTTGCTCATCTTACACAGTTTAGAAAAGAGGAAGTGCTTCTCATTGTGTTAGCGGAAAGGTAGCACTTATCAGTTAATTGAATTAAATATCCAGTTTTTTTTTTTTTTTAACAGTGTAAATTATTTGATTGAGCTCAGTGTGGAAACCAGCCCTGAAGTCTCAGAAGACATCAGAATTAACCAGAGAGCTCCTGAGCATGCCCTTTGAAAAATCAAAATAAAACAAAGAGATATTAGATCTTGTCAGTAAGTAGGTTTGGGGAATACTGATCTTAAGTAATCTTGTTGAACTGTGTTTGTGACACGAGACTATTGTTTTCCTTTGTGGTTCTGGAAGTAGAACTTCGGCCTCATGCATGATGGACCAGAGCTTTACCACTGAGCTAGTGCCCCAGACCTGAGGTAAGTCTTAGAGTATGTCTTCTTGACAGCCTGTAGAATGGTGCTACACTGAAAATTCTGGAGTAGCAACTAACAGGAACTGCTTGTTTTATTTTTTAATGCATTTTCTCTATAAAATGGAACAGGTTAAGAAATTATTTATTTATTTACACATTGTAAACAAATTAAGCTAAATATTTTGGAAAATAGGAAATGTGTAAAAGGCATAAATTTTGATCTTAATAGGCTTGTAACTTAATTAGGGAGATAGTTCTATCATACATAACATACCATTAAGCATTAAGATGCTTAATTCAATATTTGCTGATTCCTTCTAAGTATTGGGGTAAATAGTTCATATTAATGGATGCAGTTATTGCAGAAAGGAAGGTAAAATATTGGAATAACAGAAGAGAAAATCAAGGAGATGATGTGCTTTATGGTTTTTTGTTTTTTTTTTAGAGTTTTGAAAGGTTGAGTGTATCTCTTAATTAAGGAAGAGTACACAAAACTTGTTGGGCCTTTAAGCTCCTAGAAACTGGAAGTAGCGTGAAGACAATACTTTAGCATATTGTAAAATGCCAAATATATTTATCACATATCTTGAGGCCTTTATATATAAGATCAGAGTTATAGAAGGATAGTTCTAACTCATTTGTCCTCTACATCTACTAGTGTTCTTCTTACCCAGTTTTTTTTTTTTTTATCATGAGCTGCTTGACTATTATCTGTGATTGGGATGGCAGAGATAGTGTTTTGCTTACTTTTATATGCTTGGAAATTAATATGTTTACATCTACAAAATCTGATGCATGGTAGATCCTGGTAAGTCTTTTCTGGCCATGTAAATATTGATGAAAAATTACAAGGCAGAAAATTGTGTATGCATATGCGCTCTTAACTGCTGAGGCATCTTTCCAGCCCTTCACTGAAGATTTTTAATGGAAATGAACAGAAATGTTGAAGTTCTAGTTATGAAAAACATCAAAATGGTTGCAATATGTAGTTTGTGGTAAAATAAAGATGAATCAGGGATCATTTGATATTGTTTAAGCAATCTCATTGTGAAGCAACGAGGGCCTCGAACCAGATACAAGGTGTTATGACAGAAGGACACAGAATACAGATGCTAAGTGAATTGGTATCTGGACATGGCTGGAGAAGCATGAGTTGAAAATGGCTTTAATGACAATAGCTATAGTCTATGGAGTATTTATTCATGGTTTCACACAACACTTGCCTTAGTATTGAATCTTGTTTATTCACCACAGTCCAGGAGATGATTATGATTATCATTCTCATTTCAGTGATGAGAAAATGGTAGTGGCTCATAAAATTACCTCAAGACCACACCACTATGAAGTGGGAGTCAGGGTGGCAGCCAGACCTACTCACCTCCAGAGGCTTTAATCTTAGCACTGGTTAATACACAGCTAATTGCTTTTTGAGCGATAGAAACATTATGAGATGAGATTGTTTGGGGGATAGTAAGGTTTTTGTGTCTTTGGGAAAGATGAGCATCCCAAACTAAGCTTCAGGTTTGACTTAGGAAATGATTAGTTTTGCAAATGGGCTAATAATACATCACTTGGCACATAGCCATTGTAGTCATGTTAAGGTCATCCTGCCTCTGTGAAGACAGAAACCACAGGAAGATGGAAATGTCTGCTACAAGCACACCCAAGCCAAGGCCTGGATGCATGAAGGCATGTTTCTGCAAGCTGAGAGCATAATGCTGCTCAGAGGACTAATGATAAAGCAGAGTAGCTTAGGATCCCCAACACTTCCAAAGCCTCCATATGCCTCTGATTTGGGGGTCACACAAAGGCTGGTGTTTGCTTTTCTTCTTTGTTCCAACTCAGTGAAGATGTGATTCCTGTACAGCCAGAAATGATACAGGCAACTCATGGGGTAGAGTGCTCATTGTTGGACTTTTAATGTTGTTTTTGTATGTATCCTTTGGGAAAGTCTTCTATTGTTTTTTTCCATTTAGTTTTTTTTTTAAATTACAATGTTGTTTTACACTTTGTGGTATTTAAATGTTAATCAGAAAAACAGTATATAAAACAATTGTAACCACATAATATCATAAAGTGAGTTTTCATGGTGTATGTTTGGTAAGGACTAGTTTTGAAGAGGGAAACAAGTGGACCCGACTGGCAGCCTGCAGCTCCTCACAGCATCAGTTCTTGTCACCTTGGTTGCACTTTGTCTCAGGACAGGCTTTTAAAAACATTAATGACATGGCAAAATTTTATTTTTATGTTATTGACTTGCTACAGCATCAGTCTTTCATGTGATGAGCCCTGGACTCTAAGGTATCTGAAATTATTAATTAGTTCATGTTTAAGAAAACTGAAGGAGAAAACCCCAGAGAACAAGCTTCCAAAGACTATGGTAATTATTTAAGGCTTCAATGATGAGCTCCATCTCAACAGGACGTTGAATTTTACTCTCACTGGAGCCTGCTGGCAGAATGAAGCACTCGGTAAGGAAGCCTGTTGGACAGTGCTGGGCACTGGTCACTCGGAAACCTAACACACTCACCTCCGTGTGTGCGTGATCTTTTAATACGAAAAGTTTAGTTTGAATGTCTAATTCTGATAAACAAAAGCAATATGCAAGAATAATATTATTACTATGTAGGTATGCCTCTAGTGGAGAGATAATAAGTAAAAACAGAAGTAATTCAATCATAATAAGGTAGCAAAACATAGTAAAGGTAAACAAAACCGGAAACAAATATGATGGACTATTACACACACATTATATATACTCTTTAAGTTGTTCATTGGTG